ATAACTCATGGAACGGAAGAAGGGAATCACTGAGTGAGGGAGCAACTGAGTGAGGGAGGAACTGAGTGAGGGAGCAACTTAGTGAGGGAGCAACTTAGTGAGGGAGCAACTAAGTGAGGGAGCAACTAAGTGAGGGAGCAACTGAGTGAGGGAGCAACTGAGTGAGGGAGCAACTAAGTGAGGGAGCAACTAAGTGAGGGAGCAACTGAGTGAGGGAGCAACTGAGTGAGGGAGCAACTAAGTGAGGGAGCAACTAAGTGAGGGAGCAACTGAGTGAAGGAGCAACTTAGTGAGGGAGCAACTTAGTGAGGGAGCAACTTAGTGAAGGAGCAACTTAGTGAGGGAGCAACTGAGCGAGGGAGCAACTTAGTGAGGGAGCAACTTAGTGAGGGAGCAACTTAGTGAAGGAGCAACTTAGTGAGGGAGCAACTGAGCGAGGGAGCAACATAGTGAGGGAGCAACTTAGTGAGGGAGCAACTTAGTGAGGGAGCAACTTAGTGAGGGAGCAACTTAGTGAGGGAGCAACTTAGTGAGGGAGCAACTGAGTGAGGGAGCAACTTAGTGAGGGAGCAACTTAGTGAGGGAGCAACTTAGTGAGGGAGCAACTTAGTGAGGGAGCAACTTAGTGAGGGAGCAACTTAGTGAGAGAGCAACTTAGAGAGGGAGTGAGAGAGGGCTTGGTCCTAAAGGTGAAATTAAATCACAGATCATGAAAGAAAATATTTAATACATTTGGGAGACAGAACAAAGAAATGGGTAGGAAAAGAAGGCGCAAAGATAAGGAGTGAGTGATAAAGATAGGAGAAAGAGAGAGACAAGGAAAGAGAAAGCATACAGAAACGAGAGAACGAAAACAAAGTTTAGAAACCAGAAGTTCGGAAGATACAAAGCAATATTCCTTCGCTTACTCTCCTAAATTTCGAAGTTACAGAACCAACCAAGGTAGAGCAACGCGGAGCATCAAGACCCAAACACACGAGGGTTAAACTCATAAACAAGGTTAAAGTAAGTAACATAAAGTTATCCCGCCTCAAAATGAATTTAATGTTGGGGACTTGCGAAGTCGTCCGGCTGTTAATGACTTCTAACATGATAACTTAACATAACTCTTCACATATAAGCTGTGAGGCTTATCACAGATTATATGTAGCATCATATGATGATGCTATCCAGAAACACTGGATAGCATCATCATATGATGCTATCCAGTGTTCCATGGATATCTTTTTACACACATTTAGCAAGGTAGGTACAGGAGCAAACGACTTATGACTCCTATTAGCAGGCTGAGAGCCTTTCTCCCCCTCTCCAAATCTCGTGGTAAGCCTTACCAACTAAATTTCCCTAGAACACAACCTGGCTATCGGTCGACAACCAGGTACTCAGACACTGCTGGGTGAACAGAGGCGCAAGTTGATGTCCAGATAATTCTCCCTGACCAGAATTGAGTCCTGTGATTCACGGTGAATGAAAGAACAATGGAGATTCAGATGAACCATAATTCAGGCTGTGAGATCTCTGATCCCCTAGTCGGGGGAAGGCTTAGGTAATGCGATCTTGTTGAAAACTGCAGAAGGGGGGGGGGGTTAAGACAAGTAATTTATTGGTTCAAAGTTTGTATCTGAAACTTATACAAGATTTTGTTTCGTTTTTGGTTACGAAGTTTGTTGAATATTACTGCTGAGGAGTTGGTTAGCTCGTCAGGATTAGCCACAGTCTGAGTAGTCTGAGTAGTCTGAGTAGCCGCAGTCAGCGATCAGTGTCTAGTATGACCAGGTACTAGGTCAGCTTAGTATGAGGAGACACAGTCAGCTGTCAGCTTAATATGAGGAGACACAGTCAGCAGTCAGCTTAATATGAGGAGACACAGTCAGCAGTCAGCTTAATATGAAGAGAGATAGTCAGCAGTCAGCTTAATATGACCAGACACAGTCAACGGTCAGTGCAGTGTGACCAGACACAGTCAACGGTCAGTGCAGTGTGATCAGACACAGTCAACGGTCAGTGCAGTGTGACCAGACACAGTCAACGGTCAGTGCAGTGTGATCAGACACAGTCAACGGTCAGTGCAGTGTGACCAGACATAGTCAACGGTCAGTGCAGTGTGATCAGACACAGTCAACGGTCAGTGCAGTGTGACCAGACACAGTCAACGGTCAGTGCAGTGTGATCAGACATAGTCAACGGTCAGTGCAGTGTGATCAGACATAGTCAACGGTCAGTGCAGTGTGATCAGACACAGTCGACGGTCAGTGCAGTGTGATCAGACACAGTCAACGGTCAGTGCAGTGTGATCAGACACAGTCAACGGTCAGTGCAGTGTGATCAGACACAGTCAACGGTCAGTGCAGTGTGATCAGACACAGTCAACGGTCAGTGCAGTGTGATCAGACATAGTCAACGGTCAGTGCAGTGTGATCAGACACAGTCAACGGTCAGTGCAGTGTGATCAGACACAGTCAACGGTCAGCACAGTGTGAACAGACAGACAGACACTGAGCAGTACGCGCTGTACGAACAACGCTCTTTCGTACCAAGACCGGAAAACCAGAATTTCACCGTTCCAACCATTTTCCAAGAGGTCGTGTTGACTAAGGACCGAAATAATCCCAGCCGCGGACGTTAACAACTGGACCACTATGACTTGATAAAAGTTAGACAACCTTATTTCTGCTAAATCACAGGAAGTCTACATGAGGAAGCCCTCCTGAAGCCAGTCCATCTTTCACACATATGACCCCTCCAAGCACCCGGCTGGTGAAGGCAATGTAGATCATACATAGAGAAATAGATGAGATAGAGAAATTCAATGTGATGTGATATACATCAAAGATAAATCACAATTACGTGATATATATATCATTGAGAAACAAGTCAGGGTGGTTCAGTGGTTAGCCTCAGCTGATGGGATTTTCTGGGTCGCGGGTTCGAGTCACCTCAAAGCTCCAGTTGTTTTTTTCATTGATATATATATATATATATATATATATATATATATATATATATATATATATATATATATATATATATATATATATATATATATATATATATATATATCCTTGGTGTGATTTCTCTGTGCAACTGAATTTAGTATAGAAACACGTTTGTAATGACTAAAATGACAGCTATAATTGTTTACGTAATCGTATTATTGTAAAAATACTTTGATGAACATTGCGTATTGCTGGCTGTGTAGTCATGCTCATTTCACCTTAATAACACTTTCGTCCGGGCATGACGCAATGCTGCGTCATCAGTTTACTGTCGGTAGTCTCGGGGATGACGCAAATCTGCGTCATCCACTAAAATAATCGCCAAAAATCAGGTTTTAATCCGATTTTTTGGGGATTAATTGATTGTTTGATAACTGTCAACAAGCCGAATGCAATCTGTGACTACAGTACAAACATGAAAGGTGTTGATCACTTCGACCAAATGATCAAATATTATTACTTCATAAGGAAAACTCATAATATAAATTCTGTATAAGACATTCCCCACTTCCAATTTATATAACTTCACAATATCACAATACTTAACACGTTTGTCATAACATTTTGACCTATAGTCACGCGGCTTAAAATACAACTGTTGTTGTATAATCCACAGTATTCAGGAAAGATATTGTAACAAAAATGCATCACAAAAAATTAGAATATAATTTGCATTGGTTTTGCTGCCTCTTGAAGGCAGAAATAGATACAAAATAGACTCAATGAGGAGCTTCAAACCGATTAAATGATTTAATTCTCTCCAATGCATTGATCTTAAAGATTTTACGAGCCCGGGAGGTGTGTGCAACAGTGCAGTGGCAGACTAATATGCCATCTTCAGATGAAGATGGCATCCCACTATGTTGGCATCCCACCGTGTTGTCCTGACACACGAGGTATCCCACCGTGTATCCTGATACACGAGGTATCCCACCGTGTATCCTGATACACGAGGTATCCCACCGTGTATCCTGATACACGAGGTATCCCACCGTGTTGTCCTGACACACGAGGTATCCCACCGTGTATCCTGACATACGAGTTATCCCACAGTGTATCAAGACACACGAGGTATCCCACCGTGTATCCTGACACACGAGGTATCCCACCGTGTATCCTGACATACGAGTTATCCCACAGTGTATCAAGACACACGAGGTATCCCACCGTGTATCCTGACACACGAGGTATCCCACCGTGTATCCTGACATACGAGGTATCCCACCGTGTATCCTGACACACGAGGTATCCCACCGTGTATCCTGACATACGAGGTATCCCACCGTGTATCCTGACACACGAGGTATCCCACCGTGTATCCTGACACACGAGGTATCCCACCGTGTATCCTGACACACGAGGTATCCCACCGTGTATCCTGACACACGTGGTATCCCACCGTGTATCCTGACACACGAGGTATCCCACCGTGTATCCTGACACACGAGGTATCCCACCGTGTATCCTGACACACGAGGTATCCCACCGTGTATCCTGACACACGAGGTATCCCACCGTGTTTCATTGTAGTAGGATGAAATGAGAGAATACAGGACATTGAAGGAGTCAGAAAAATAATTAAGAGATAACTTTCTTAAAACACAAAGATAATAAGCAAGTTCTTACGTGATCAGTTGCCTCCACTCTGACCAATACTTATCTCCAACAGAGAAAATTTACAGAGAAAACTAAGAAAATTATAATTTTAGCATATCTGAATATTCATGCCTTGCTAATATATAATAAACGTAAGACAATGTGTATACAAGCCCCAATATATATGATGCTATAATATGTAACTTCCTTAATACTGCAAGAGTTTAACTTCAAACTTTATATTTGAGACGAAGACTTTAACATATAATTATATTTTTTTCTGAAAATTTCAACCGCAATGTCCTTTGACCTTTCTTTACACAAGAAAATTTCCTAATCAATATTTACAAGGTTCGCCGTATATTTTCTAAGTAGTTGATAAAGCACCGAAATTCTGAGTGGTTTCAGACCCCAAACAGACCAAGACTCATTCAGACCAAGACATTCAGACCAAGACTCATTCAGACCAAGACTCATTCAGACCAAGACATACAGACCAAGACTCATTCAGACCAAGACATTCAGACCAAGACATACAGACCAAGATTCATACAGACCAAGACTCATACAGACCAAGACATTCAGACCAAGACATACAGACCAAGATTCATACAGACCAAGACTCATACAGACCAAGACATTCAGACCAAGACATACAGACCAAGACTCATACAGACCAAGACATACAGACCAAGACTCATTCAGACCAAGACATACAGACCAAGACATTCAGACCAAGACATACAGACCAAGACTCATTCAGACCAAGACATACAGACCAAGACTCATACAGACCAAGACCCATACAGACCAAGACTCATTCAGACCAAGACATACAGACCAAGACTCATTCAGACCAAGACATACAGACCAGGACTCATACAGACCAAGACTCATTCAGACCAAGACTCATTCAGACCAAGACATACAGACCAAGACATACAGACCAAGACTCATTCAGACCAAGACATTCAGACCAAGACATTCAGACCAAGACATACAGATCAAGACTCATTCAGACCAAGACATACAGACCAAGACTCATTCAGACCAAGACATACAGACCAAGACTCATTCAGACCAAGACTCATACAGACCAAGACATTCAGACCAAGACATACAGACCAAGACTCATTCAGACCAAGACATACAGACCAAGACTCATTCAGACCAAGACTCATACAGACCAAGACATACAGACCAAGACTCATACAGACCAAGACTCATTCAGACCAAGACATACAGACCAAGACTCATTCAGACCAAGACATACAGACCAAGACTCATTCAGACCAAGACTCATACAGACCAAGACATACAGACCAAGACTCATACAGACCAAGACTCATTCAGACCAAGACATACAGACCAAGAGACATACAGACCAAGACATACAGACCAAGACATTCAGACCAAGACATACAGACCAAGACTCATTCAGACCAAGACATTCAGACCAAGACATACAGACCAAGACATTCAGACCAAGACATTCAGACCAAGACATACAGACCAAGACATTCAGACCAAGACATACAGAAACCCACATAAACTATTGACGAAAAAACACTGCAAATTTCACGTTAGTGGGAATGGTAGATCAGACATTATAACGAATCGATATGATTGTGTTCAGTTTTTCTCTATCATCTCAACCAATGCCTTTTTAATTATGTAGTCGATAGCGCCAAAACTGAAATGTATTAATACATGAAGACAGATTGTACCTTTCTAAAATGGTTAGGAGGGTAGAGACATTTCTCACTAATCCTCTACAAGGGGATAGGAGAGTAGAAAAGAGTCTCAGCAACCTCTCCAAAGGAGAAAAAATGGTTCCTCATCCACTACTCATCCATAATGAGTGGGAGAATGGGGGCACCTCCCCACTACCCATCATCTCTCGCAATATTTTTACCGGGTTATGGTAACGAAGTTCATTGTGGTTCTCGTTAATTTCTCTCATTTTCTCAAGTCTCTCGCTGTGGTAGACCTCCCGGGCTGTCTTACCCTTCCCTGTCTATCTCTTCCTTTGCCTGTCTATCTCTTCCCTTGCCTGTCTATCTCTTCCCTTGCCTGTCTATCTCTTCCCTTGCCTGTCTATCCTTCCATGCAGCCTCCACCTCCCTCACTCTTCCTCGCCACTTCACCAAATAATCTCAGACAAGGATGACGTTTCTTGTACCAACTCTTCCCCAGAATGGCTCCTATCAAGTCAGTTGTCTCCTGGTCTCTGTTTCTCTCCATCTCTCTCTCTCTCCGTCTCTCTCTTTCATCCATATACTCAATTTCTTCCTCACTTCAGAGAATTTGGTTATTTCTTCTTGTACTGGAGTCTCTGTTAATCTTCGTTTTCTCTCTCTCTCTCGTTCTGTTCACTCTCCTCACTATCCCACCATTTAGTCGTCTATTCTTCCTCCCTCTCTCCTCTCCCTTCTCTCACTTTCTCTTCTCCTCCATTCGTCCTCCGTCTTTTCTCCATCCTTCTCTCAATTATCTCTCATTACCCCATCTCTCTTTCTCTCTCTCTCTCTTCCTCTCACGTTTTCTCTACTCCCTGTTTCTTAACTTTTATCTCGTTTTATCTCTTCCTTCGGTTCACTCTAACTTTTGGTCCCTTGACAATCTGTGATCTCACTTAACGCAATATTTTTTACACTCTACCCCAACGTTAAAATTACGGGGGTTTTAAGAAAAATTAACATCATCTCAATTTTGACGATTTTCTTGCAGTAATGATTGTAGGGTCTCGGGTTGGTTAGTCCAGGTTTAGACGCTGTGGTTAGGCCATACCGTTGCATTTTTTACGTAGAGACAACTGACTTATTCCCTTGCAGACCGCAACGTCCAAGCAGGATTCAGAAAAGGGATTCAGAGCCTCCTTTCCATGCTTGAATCCCATGAAGGTATTTGAACCCCATATATGACCTGGTAGCCCACATAGAGGGGTTCTAATTCCATATATGAGCTGGAACTTCATATATAAGTACCTATACAGTCCGTCTGTATAGGTACTGAAACCCCATATAAGCGCTGAAAACCCCATATATAGGTAATGAAACCTCCATACAGGCACTTAAAACCCTTATATAGGTACTGAAACCCCCATATAAGCGCTCAGAACGCATATATAGGTACTGAAACCCTCATATAAGCGCTGAAAACTCCTTATATAGATAATGAAACCTCCATATAGCCACTGAAAACCCTCTAAATAGCTACTGAAACCCCCATATAAGCGCTGAAAATCCCTATATAGGTACTAACACCCCATATAAGCTCTGAAACCCCATATTGGTGACGGCTGTGTAAGAGCAGGAACCTAAACATTATACTTTACCCATAAAAATCTTCAAGTCACCCAGTGTATGAGTAAGAATGCCGCAAGATTGAATTCAAGGAGAATGCTGCAGATTGAATGAGTAAGATTGCAAGAAGTTGGGAAGGAATGCATCTTGGGAGCAGACGTCCTTACAGCAGACGCCTGCTGCAAGGGGATTATAGGAAGTCAAGACTGTAATGTGCAATGAAACACTCCAATATCAAATTGGGAAGTGGATATCACATCACCCCAAGGTGAGGTCCGGTGACCTCTGACCTCTACGTCACAGAGACACAGTCGATCATGTGATTCAAGGTTTGAGGCAATTTGGGGGTTGTCATGCCTCAGAATGTCACGATGTGGCATGCCCAGACCAGCGAGGAATTCAATTTCATGCCCAAAGAGCCGGTCGGCCGAGCGGACAGCACGCTGGACTTGTGATCCTGTGGTCCTGGGTTCGATCCCAGGCGCCGGCGAGAAACAATGGGCAGAGTTTCTTTCACCCTATGCCCCTGTTACCTAGCAGTAAAATAGGTACCTGGGTGTTAGTCAGCTGTCACGGGCTGCTTCCTGGGGGTGGAGGCCTGGTCGAGGACCGGGCCGCGGGGACACTAAAGCCCCGAAATCATCTCAAGATAACCTCAAGAAAGATCCACATCGAGTATTATTATAGAGCATCAGGCCAGACGGGGTGTCCCAAAACAGAGCTGGAGATGGGTCAGTTTCATAGAGTTTGTTAGAGTCGAACTGCGTGAAAGCTGAAGTCAATAACTATTAACTCAGAGGAATGATTTAAAGTTCTGTGTGTAGATAATAGCATAATATATCAGAGAAACATTAATAACATTCGTATGGAGACTAAGTTGTGGTTTAAGGTTATCTTGAGGTTATCTTGAGATGATTTCGGGACTTTTTTTTTTTAGTGTCCCCGTGGCCCGGTCCTCGACCAGGCCTCCACCCCCAGGAAGCAGCCCGTGACAGCTGACTAACACCCAGGTACCTATTTTACTGCTAGGTAACAGGGGCATAGAGTGAAAGAAACTCTACCCATTGTTTCTCGCCGGCGCCTGGGATTGAACCCAGGACCACAGAATTACAAGTCCAGTGTGCTGTCCGCTCGGCCGACCGGCTCCCCTCAAGGTAATTGACCTTGAACCACAATAGGATAATCTGTGGAGAAAACCACTCAATGTGGTTTGGGCCTCGTAGCCTGGTGGATAGCGCGCAGGACTCGTAATTCTGTGGCGCGGGTTCGATTCCCGCACGAGGCAGAAACAAATGGGCAAAGTTTCTTTCACCCTGAATGCCCCTGTTACCTAGCAGTAAATAGGTACCTGGGAGTTAGTCAGCTGTCACGGGCTGCTTCCTGGGGGTGGAGGCCTGGTCGAGGACCGGGCCGCGGGGACACTAAAAAAAAGCCCCGAAATCATCTCAAGATAACCTCAAGATCTCAAGATGTTGAATTGCATTCTGCAACATTGCGTTATCATGTACAGGCTGTAATGTGATGTCAAATGTTTGGACTGTACTGTCAAATTCGGACTCATTGGATCCCTGAGGTGTTTGGGGTCAAGGTATTGACAACCTTGGGACTCTAGCTGGGCGTTTCATCCGTCAAGGAGCACCTTCCCACATCTCCTTGTAGCACGCTGTGGTCTTAGTAATAATAAAGGAAATATTAAATCCGACCCCTGTCTTATCCATCCATGTGATCACTCCTGTTCCTAATCCAGTGATTGCTTCTGTCCTATCCCAGTGATTGCTTCTGTCCCATCCCAGTGATTGCTTCTGTCCCATCCCAGTGATTGCTTCTGTCCCATCCCAGTGACCTCTTTTTTACCATTCCAGTGATTGTTTCTGTCCCATCCCAGTGATTGTTTCTGTCCCATCCCAGTGACCTCTTTTTTTTACCATTCCAGTGATTGTTTCTGTCCCATCCCAGTGATTGCTTCTATCCCATCCCAGTGATTGTTTCTGTCCCATCCCAGTGATTGCTTCTATCCCATCCCAATGATTGCTTCTATCCTATCCCAGTGATTGCTTCTATCCCATCCCAGTGATTGTTTATGTCCCATCCCAGTGATTGTTTCTGTCCCATCCCAGTGATTGTTACTGTCCCATCCCAGTGATTGTTACTGTCCCATCCCAGTGATTGTTTCTGTCCCATCCCAGTGGTTGTTTCTGTCCCATCCCAGTGATTGTTTCTGTCTCATTCCGGTGATTTTTTCTGTCCCATCCCAGTGATTGCTTCTATCCCATCCCAGTGATTGCTTCTATCCCATCCCAGTGATTGCTTCTATCCCATCCCAGTAACCTCTCTTTCCCCATCCCAGTGACTTGCATCTTGCACAATCATAGTAACTATCTACCCATCAACTTATCTATCAAAGATTACCGCTGATCCAGAATGCCAAGTTTAATTCAGTTCAGTTCAGAGTCTCATTCGTACACAGGAACACCTGGCATGTTCCAATTTTTTTTATTGACATAAATTCGGTTCTAGTTAGTTTAAGTATCCAAGCTTATCCTAACAGGCATAATTCAATTTTTTCAATAGCTTCAACCCTGACTTTCTTATTCCTAAAATCCACTAAAATTTTCAAAAATTTCAAAAATTTCAAAAATTAGTATTTGCAAATTTAATTTTATGATCATACTGTCCTAAATATATTGTTAATTTTAATGCAGATTTTTATTTTTATGATATAGAATATACCATCAATTTATTATAACTACAATACTACGTTTAACATTACAAAATATATATATATATATATATATATATATATATATATATATATATATATATATATATATATATATATAATAATAATAAAATACAATATAAAATACTGGAATATAAGGTTCAGTACCTCCACAATAAAAATTTAAAAATTCTGGAATTAAAGATAAGGCAGGAAGTGCAAAATTCAATCAATAGAAATTTGGGCAGTGATAAGCAAAATTAGAGAACACCGTGCCAACACTAGGATGCCAAAAAAGGCTAAAAGAAATATAAGAATTATCGCTGGGAAACATTCTTGAAAAGTTTAAGTCGAAGCTTAAGAAGCTCTTCTTGGAGATATCAGACATGCGGGGGTTGTGATATCTGCGTGTGGTTGGTGCGAGTTCCAACCACTAACAGCCTCGATAACCAAGCATGCAAATGTTGAATGTTATCAGCAGTGACACCTTTCCCTTCTCTTGAGAGGTTATCTTGAGGTTATCTTGA